TTATCCCAATTTGGCATATGGGGAAACTTTTAGTGAAGTAACCTACCAAAATCTCACAGTGGCAAAGCTAGCACTGCCATCCAATTCAACTGATAGCAAAGCCCAGTTACTGTGCAATATTGCTTCAGGGCTGGAACCCTGACCTGCTTAGCTTTATGGTTTTCTATTCTTTCTTTCTATTACATGAAGTTTAACACAACTAACATTTGCAGCTTTCTTATTGCTGAAATAAAATGATATTTATAAGCCTTAATTCTTTTCCTCCGCCTTTTCCCCTGTTTCTTACCTTTCTTGTCCTCGTTCCCTTCTTCCTCAGTTTTTATTTTTCCATTTTTCCAACGTGAAATGTGAAATATTTGCTCTAGTCTTCTCTTCACAGGCCATATCAATTCTAAATTGGTCCTGGTGGGGGAGAAGGGGTGGTCAGTGTTGGCTTAGGCAAGGCAAAGTTAGTTGACTGAAAACTTGCACTTCTGAACTAGTTAAAGACCAGAAGACTACACATCAATCCTGTCAACTTACCTGAAGGTCAATCACTGGGCCAGATTTCAAAGATGACAAATCCTAAGGCTGCCGCTACTCCCTCCCTTCTCTTAGGAAAAAAGATAATGATCATTCCCACAGCCCCAGGGAAAATAGCCAATTGCCATGTCCTCCTTAACCTACATAATAGGGAAAAACCTATATTGCCCCAGCTCCCACTTTCCAATAAAGTTTTCTTTTTTTTTAAAAAAGGAAGGAATTTGTTAAAGCTAAAAGATAGCTTCCTGTTGTGCTTTATTTTTCAGAAATCTCAAATAAGCTTTAAATGTACTTGATTATTTGATTAAGAGGCCACCTCTGCTTTTTCTCAGAGACAGAACATTGATCTAGTTAAGAGCAGTTAATATCACATTTTAAAAAGAAAAAAAAGAAGAAAAAAACTATTTAATGCCTTTTTGGTGTCTTAATAGAGCCTTGTATGCAGCCTTACTGGAAGCCTGGAGATAACACTCCCCAAATATTTCTTCAGTAATTAGAGAAAATTTTCATTTTAAGACAAAATATTTGAAAATTATGTGCACCTTAACTGCCAAGACTGAGTCTGGTTCCTGGATCCATTTCCCTTGTAAGGACACATGATGTCACTCTCCTGAAAGCTTTTTATAATGCTCCTTGGACTGGACCAAATGTCTCAGATGTTATTAATCCTCTAGAGCTAAATCCAGTACTCCAAATTTGAAATTTTACATATAAACAGGGAAGAAATTTCCCCCTCCCAATTTGTAACTTGTAGGTCTACAGAGATATTCTGATGATGATTTTAAGTAGATTTGGCTCTATAAAATCTCTACAGTTAACCTTTAAGTGATAGTCTACGACTGTATCATTATGCAATGATATAGAGCTATTTTGCAGGTGTTGAGATTGTACAAAATATTTATAAAAAAATAAATGTTAGGGTGAGGCTAGATGTTTTGTTTTTGAAGCAGATTCAAAAAGCCTTTGACCTTTGACAATACTCTTCTCACCTAGAGTTTCATTTTTACCAAATATAAAATTATTTTGTTCAAGTGTTAGTGGGAGAAGACAGTTGATTGCTGCCTTTAGCTTGATTTGCTTCACTCTTGTTTGCAAAAGAATAGACTTCCTGAATGGTTCAGCCTAGCAAAACAGGGAATGGGAAAGTCTTTTCCCAATTTAGTCAATTATCTAATTTCTTTGAGAATTTTTTTTAACAAACATTAATTAATAATTGGAAATGGTCCAGAAACTCAGACATGTGGAAAATTGTTTTGTAAATAAAGCTATATTTTGATGGTATATAGGAGCAGTGGTTCTCAAACTTTATTGTGCAGCAGAATCCTAGAGGATTTGGGAAAACAGTTTGCTGGACCCCACTCCAGAGTTTCTGATTTCAGCTGGACTGGAGTGGGGCCTGAGAATTTGCATTTCTAAGACATTTCCAGGTAGCATTGCTGTTGCTAGTTCAGGTACCTCAGTTTGAGAACCAGTGATGTAGAGCAATTGAAAACTAGCTTATTTCTTTTCCGTATCTTGTGTGGGTATGTTTCACATTTGTTTCCCAGATGATGTCATTCTCAGAGTGTGAATCACAGCAAAGATTTTCTGGCTTCATCCCTTTTCGCTCTCTCCGTCCAAAGTTCAATGACCTTCAAATTCTCCCCTCAATGTTTTCATATATGTCCTGTGACACAGCTATTCTATGGTTAAAACATTTTGGGATACACTGGTTTCACTGGAAAGGAAATTATTTCTAATCTCAGAACTTCTCAGAGCTTCAAATATGTAAATGTACATTGTGAATTTCCAAAAGGGAGATAAAGTATGTGACATTTCCCAAGTGGATTTGATCTTGGACTTCTTCCTCAATCCCTCTCCACAATCAAGCACTAGGGAATATCTATTAAGCACAGTTTGGGAAATACTCTAAGTAAATAATTTTGTAATTTTTTAACAGAAATTTTGATGTAAAATAATTTTATAATTAGTTTACAAGGCAAAAAAAAAGTCTATATTACAACCTAGGAAAAAGACAAACTAATATGCCCAAAACATTATGTGTGGATTTTAAATCAACTTAGAAAAGTAATAAGTGCATTCATCCATTGTTTTGATTATCATATGACCTTTTCTTGATCAAATAATTTACTGAGCAATATGAAGAACCCACAGATTCTAGCCTTTGTTGATCATCAAGTCTTTCTTGACCTTACCACCTAAAATGCTCCTGCCAGCCCCCCTCCCCAATTTCTTTTCCATTACTGTTTTGTTTTCTTCATAACACTCTCATGATTATAAATTATCTCAGAATTCCTTAAGTGATGTCCATGGTTATTGCTTGTTTCCACCACTAGAATACAGTTCTACAAGGGCAACATCTTGTCTGTCTTGTTCACTTCTATACTTCGACATCTAGCACAGTGTGAGGAATATGCGCTCAGTAAATTTTTTTTTATTGAAAGAACAAATAGATCAATAAAATAATCATCTATGTTCTAATTATGAAATCTAAATTATAGTTAAGAAGAGGAGAGAGTGCTTTGGCTGAGACAGATTAATCTTTTTATTTCTCATGGAGTAATTCCAATCTAAAGATGTGAAGGGGGAATTATTAATGCTGAAACTTAGGATGCTATTTTGTAGACTCCCTTTTTGGTGATTTTAAATATTTTGTAAGGGACAAAAAAGCATACAATTATTTCTTAAATAAGGCAAGTATGTTAAAATCCTTGCATATAAACAGGCCTTGTATAAACATCAATTTTTCTTTCTCTCTAACTTAAAAAGAACGCTGAAAATAATGTTACTTCTTGCTACATTATAAAGTTCTTTTTGACTTCAAGAAATCTAAAAAGCATCATTAACAGTGCTTTTTAAAAAGCACACTTGTTCTAAAGAGAAGCTTGTTTTATACATTTGCATTTTTGTATGGTAAACAGGTGTTAAATATGTGTAGAGCATAATTGTTGCTAATTTACAGGTCCTGGTAATTTTTGAGGCAAGGAGAAGTCTGACTGACATGTACGAAGGTCGGCTATTTCAGGAGATACATTCAGTTTTGCCCAACAAAACAAGAGAAAGGGCCGGGCGTGGTGGCTCACACCTGTAATCCTAGCACTCTGGGAGGCCAAGGCGGGCGGATTGTTTGAGCTCAGGAGTTCGAGACCAGCCTGAGCAAGAGCGAGACCCTGTCTCTACTAAAAATAGAAAGAAATTAATCGGACAACTAAAAATATATAGAAAAAATTAGCCGGGCATGGTGGCACATGCCTGTAGTCCCAGCTACTCGGGAGGCTGAGGCAGAAGGATTGCTCGAGCCCAGGAGATTGAGGTTGCTGTGAGCTAGGCTGATGCCACAGCACTCTAGCCCGGGCAACACAGTGAGACTCTGTCTCAAAAAAAAAAAAAAAAAAAGAGAAAGAAATCAGCAGGCAGATTTTTAAGGGAAAGGATTCATCCAGGAATTCAAGGAGACAATTGTCAGAAGTCCTTAGCACATTAGGTGATTTGAAATTGCATTAAAATGTATTGTCTACTTCCGGGTGTTAAAATGGAAAAAAAATAGTTACACGTCATTTCACAGGCCTTTTATGTGGTTAATTTTTTTTTTTTCTTGTTTAGGCTGTCTACATCCGGTCCCTATTCTCTTCTTTCTCATTATCTCCCTCTAGAGGTTTGTTTTTACTTTATGCTTTTATCCTTATTAGTGGCAAAAAGTGGGTCAGTATTACTTTAGTTTGTCTTCACTTTCACTCTGTCGTTCATTCCCGAACTAGCTTTTAGCCTCTGGGAAAGTAAAAACATTTACAGAAATTGGGCCAACCTCTCGTGACCCACCTCCCCCAAGAAAACAAAACCTAACTAACTGCATCCGTAGTTAGCAGTCTTTTCTGTTTTCACGGCACCTTGCGTTTCCGTTCTCATAACGTTCAGATTTTTATTATAATTGTTTGTTGATTATCTCTCATCAGGCTAGACTCTCAGTCCTTAAAGGACCCAGCATCTTGCCCAGAATATTAACATTAACATTAATATATAATAATATATAAAAAAATCGTACTGTAGCCTAAATGAATAAATGCTGCGTGCGTGAATGACTGCGGCACTGGTACCCACCCCCCACAACAATGCAGAAAAGTTGCAGCAATCAACATGTTTCAGTGTGGGTCCTTTGACACCAACTCTCTAGAGAAGCCAGTGGAGAACTGTAGCATGAACACCTTAAACAATAATTACTTGGATGATTTAAGCAAGAGATTTGATTTTGTTCGGGGGTGGGAGAAAGATGAAGGGGCTGGGTTATTTGGCTAATTCCTTCCCCCATCGCTGTGCACTGGCACTGCCCCTTCTTCTCGCTCCCGCCGTTCCAGAAGCGACGCGAGGGAGGCCCAGGACCCCACAGCGGGGCGGGGGTTTCCCCGGGATACCCGCCCCAGCCTGGCCCGCAGGCCCCGCCCCCGGCCCGCAGGCCCCGCCCTCAGCCGCCGCCGGCAGGGGTCGCGCTGCCCCGGAGAGCTGCTCAGGCGGGGGTGGGGGAAGCTCCCGCGGCCGGTTGCCTTTCTCCGCCGCCGCTGGTTGGATCGTTTCAATAAAAGTCTTTTTTTCTCTCTCACTCTCCTCCGGGGAACAGGCGGAGGCGTCAGTCCGCAGCCGCCGAGTGAGAACGCGACGCACACGCAGGGAGCGAAAGCGGCCGCCCGCAGTCTCCTCCGCTCCCCACGGTCCGGTCCCGGAGCCGGCGAGAAGAAGGAGCCAGCGCGCGCCGGCGCCTGCCTGCCTGCCTCGCTCCCGCCCCGGCTTCTCCGAGGGGATTAGTGGGCCGTCCGCGCGGCTCGGCGGCCCGGGAGCCATGTTGACCAGGGGGCTTGGCAACGCGTGAGGCACCCGCGGCCCCTCCCGGAGGCTCCGGACCCGCGGCGAGAGCCGGAAGGCGGCGGCGGAGGCCTGGGCTCGGAGACGCCTCGGCTCTGCCGGCTGCTGGGACCCGGACCTGCATCCGGCCGCCGCGGGCGTCGGCGGAGCCTCCTTCCCTCCGCCTCGCCTCGCCTCGCCTCGCCCCGGGACGCGGTCCCCGCACTTGCTGGTGAGTTGGCGGCCGGCTACCGCGCGGCGCTTTCCCCTGCTGCCCTGCAGCCCCGGGCCGAGAGAGGTCGGGAGGGTGCGTGGGACGGAGGCCGGAGCGGAGGGCTGCTGGGGGCGCGGGAGGCTCTGGCCCCTCTGGGAAGTTGAGAGCGGAGGCGCGGCGGGCTCGCGTATGCCTGTCAGCCCTTGGGTCCAGCGCGGACCCCGGGTCGCCCAGGCATTTCCGGGGGTGGGTGGGGTGTGAGTGTCTGCCGCGCTCCTTCCCGGGAGGCGCCTGCAGCCGCCGCGCCGCCTCCGGTGCTTGCTGCCGCTTTGGTCTCCAGGGGAGGCCGGTCTCCTCGCGGGGCGGAGGAGGGGAAGAGGCACCAAGTCTCCCGAGACACAAAGGTCCCCTCGGCGAGGGTGGAGCTGGAGGCGCGGGCGGCGCAGCCTAGGAGGGGAAGGAAGGGCGCGGGTCCGCGGGAGGTGGGCGAGGGGGCGGCGGCCGCGGCTCTTCCAGCTCCGTTGGAGACTCCGCGGCTGTGCGCGGGTGGGGATCGCGGGGAGGAGGAGGAGCCCTCGCGTGGGGAGCGGGCCGAGACAAAGATCAAGGCAGCCTCCTGCTGGCGGGTCACACTCCGGAGTGTTGGTCAAGAGCGGAGGTGGAGGGAATGTGGGAAACCCAAAGAACCGATGGGAAAGGGAAAATGGGGGGTGAGGGTGCCAAGTGGTGTCTCCGTCGCAGTTGGCTTTTCTCGGCGTTTTTGTGCCCGATGTTATTGCTCCCCATCTCAGCTGGATAGCTCCAGATTCCCTCCCTGCCATCACCCCCATACTGCCACATTGCCTCTCCTGTGGTTTCCCCCACACTCTCCCCCTCCTTTTCACCCACTCCTTTTCGGGTAAGCGGTATTTTGCCTTCAGTTTGGGGAACGTTTGCTAATGACAGGATGCCTGAGCTTGTTCTGACCCTGAACTGCCTTGAACTCCTCTCTCTTCCTCCCACCCTTTCCTTTCTGGGATCTATAATGTCACATGGCCATTAACAATTAGCTTTTCTTCTGCAAAAATGGCAAAAGCATTTAGCTGAAATCTGTGGCGCTACTCCTTTATATTAATATGTCCACCAAAGACATGTCGTTGGTCGTGTTTTATCACCTCACAGCCAAATTAATATCAGGTCATAACAGGTCACTTTCTGGATACAGAAGTGACAAATTTTGTTTTGAGTCTTGGCCGTTCCTAGGGTCAGCAAAGTGTATTCCTGACTGACAGCCAGACCTTCTTTCACTTATCAGGAAATGCTTGACTTAAAGACAGTTCTTTCCTCAAACTATGCTGTTTCTTTTTTTTGAGTGTTTGTTGCAGGATTTCTCTTAAAGTCGTTTGTGTAAGAAGATCAAAGTAACAGATGAGTTACTGTGTTTTAGGCTTACTTCGTTAACTATTGGACAGAAGAAAATGAATGTGATTTTGAGACCTTTGATGCTTTGAGTAGACCAAAGACTCTAAGGTAGAAATAAGAGTAAATTTTAAGAAAAAAAAATTCTAGTGGTAATAGCATTGGTTTGGTTTTGTTCTTTTATGAGCCTGAGGAGTTGGCTTATTTATTAAACGTTGGGATGTTGCTTTGTTGATGAAGTCATTTTGGTCTTTGTAATTCTAACATCTGCATACTTCCATAAACAATGGGTTGAAACAAAAGAAAAAATGTGACTATATTTAAGGAATATTCTTTATGTATTTTTTATGTTATTAGAGAGAATATTGGAATATAAAGAATGTTATCTTTTTATTTGGCAAACCATCTCCTAAGCCAGAAGTACTAACAATTTGAATGCTGGGCTTAAAAAAAAGAAAAAAAGAATTGCTGTCTTTGAATTTAAGCGTCTGTAAAATTACTATGCAAATATAAGTAGTTATTATTGATTATTTTTACAATTAAAATAAAAACATTATGCACATACGAATGGAAAAAAATAAAAGGAAAGCCTTTTTAAGGACATGACTGTTGATATCTTTCTGCTTGCTGCCATTGCAGCATTGACACTATAAAAATTGTGAAAGAGATTTCAATTTAGTGACAGTCTCTGAACTTTGGGACCTATCCCTACCCTATCCCACCATTTAAAACATTTTAGAGACCTAAAGTGAAATTAATAGGATTATTAATAATTGATATTTTATATAATATTTATTGAAAGACCATATTGAGCATACATTGATTTTTCTTGCATATTTATTAGTATCTAATTAGATAATCAAAATTTAAGTGTTACTTGGAGGAAATCTACCAAAATGTTACCAAGGTTTCTGGATGGTGGGATTTATTGGTGATCAAAAAAATTCATTTTGGTATTTTACAAATTTTCACATTACTTTTACAATCAGAAGAAAAAGTAAATGTGGAATAAAGTCTTGTTAATATCTTAATTTGCCTGTTACTGTACTAAAAATATAAAGCTTCTATAAAATGTGAAATTCTCATGCTTAGATTCAGGCCTAACAAAGTCACTTTCAGTGTTAGATATTTGAAATAGTGCAGCTGTCATATGTAACTCTGATTAGCAGAAGAAAAAAAGAAATAAAGATACATAGTAAATAAAGGTGAAATTGGAGGAATCGATCTAGAACAAGGTCACCAGAATACAAAGCTACCATGCTAATACGTTTAATATAAGGACATGAATGTTGATATCTTGCTGCTTGCTGCCATTACAGCGTTGACACTATAAAAATTGTGAAAGAGATTTCAATTTAGTGACAGTCTCTGAACTTTGGGACCTATCCCTACCCTATCCCACCATTTAAAACATTTAATCTAGTGTTCTAATAATCAGTCATTGAGTTTACAAAAATAGAAAATTAAAATTTTATTTGTTTTGTAACACAGAATAACTGTTGACTAAGCAGATTTTAATGTTTATGTTTGTTGATATGTTTAGTTTTCAGACACTGGTTCAGTCCTACAGTTATGATAGAAAGAGATGGCAAATAAAATCATTTTCTTTGCTCGGTCAAGGCTTGTTTTTTCCCTTATTTTCAGCAATATTTTCCTTCTTTCCCTTCATTGGTGAATTTGTACTAAATGAAAAACAATGCACCTATTTTACTGTGAAAAATGGAAGCTACAATGGCAACTGAGGTTGCTATTTCAAAGTGGAGATGATGATGGCCCGTAATATTAAAGAAGCTACATGAACACAAAATTGTTGCCCTATTTTCTTTGTTGTTGTCTAATAATGCTGAATATTTATAAGGTATTACATTTTGAATCTTTATTGCTGTTCCCTAGTCTTTTTTTTTTTTTTGAGACAGAGTCTTGCTTTGTTGCCTGGGCTAGAGTGAGTGCCGTGGCGTCAGCCTGGCTCACAGCAACCTCAAACTCCTGGGCTCAAGCAATCCTTCTGCCTCAGCCTCCCAAGTAGCTGGGACCACAGGCATGCGCCACCATGCCCGGCTAATTTTTTCTATATATATATTTTTAGTTGTCCAGATAATTTCTTTCTATTTTTTAGTAGAGACAGATTGTCGCTCTGGCTCAGGCTGGTCTCGAACTCTTGACCTTGAGCGATCCACCTGCCTTGGCCTCCCAGAGTGCTAGGATTACAGGTGTGAGCCACCGCGCCTGGCCTGTTCCCTAGTCTTTATATAATAAAATTATAGTGTCATATCCAGGCATTCTATTATATAGTTTATATATTTCCAGGATGGATAATTACTTAATGAATTTATTGCTGTATTGTTAAAAAATATGTTAAATCCAGCATACAAAAATATTCTCTAGGGTATTTGATCTATTTTAAAAATTGTCTCTCCTTTCATATGTGGAAAGGAAGAACAGTTTTGGGTTCTCTTGAATAAGTAATTTTTGCTTAAACTGTTAAATAGGAAATATTATTTAATGTGTATTTTATTGGTAATTTGCATTTTACGTGCTGAAGATAAACAATATGATTATGGTATTTAAAAATGTGCTTTATATAGCAATTGTAAAGTGAAAAACTGGCTATAATAGGAAACCTGGTATAGCTCAGTAGCATTCAACATACTGAGTAATTGGCGATTTCTTTGAACTGATGGGGAGAAGACCAATTAGACTGGCTTTTAAGAATTCTTACTGTCATTATTGGATCCTTTGTCATTTTATTTCCAATATAGTTAGTTGGGTTACTTTTGATATCTGCAAAATATTGACGTGGAAAAGAGGGATTGCCAAGGGCCAGAAAAATCTATTGAATACACCTGCGTGTAGTTTACCATTCCTAGCCTGTTTTCCTCTCCCTGTTGGCCAACATAGAAAATCAATAGACATCTACCAGAAAATCTGATAAATAATGTTACTGTATTCTGCAGTAACTTATGATACTGAATACTATTAATATATTTGAGGAGGTAGATTACACATCTATGGTATATTGGGATGAGGTAAAAATTATCTTGCTATCCAAAGTTTTTTAAAAATATTTTTTGATGTTACCTGTCTTAGTTTACTCAGGCTGCCCTAACAAAATACCATACACTGGGTGGCTTAAAATACAGACATATATTTTCTCACAGTTCCGGAGGCTGGAAGTCTGAGATCTGGATACTGGCTGCCTTGTCAGCTGCCTCCTGCCCCTGTGCTCTCAAGGCCTTTCCTCCTTGCCTGCAGGTGGAGGGGGGAGAGAGAAGAGGAGAGAGAGCTCTCTTTTTCTCTTCCACTTCTTACAGGGGCACAAATCCCATTATGAGGGTTCTACTCTCAGGACCTAATCTGTATCTAATTAATTCCCCAAAATCCACCTCAAGTAAGTATCACACTGGGAGGTTGGAGCTTCAACATATGAACTTTGGGCACATACATTTAGCCATAGCAGAAACTGTGTGAAAGAAGTTACCTTCTCTGCTAGGCATTATGCTAAGTGTTATTTTGTTAAATCTTCATGATAAGCCCATCATATAGGTATTATTCCCGTTTTCATATGATGAAACAAAGACCTGAGGTTAAGTAATTGTTTCCAGGATCCTACTGCTATGGTG